TTTTGAAACAGTTATTGTGGGAGAAGATTGATCATGTTTTTGAACCACATTCTTTTGAATAAACTAACTTATAATTGCATATATCTTTTATTTGATTACTTGCAACAAACAAAATGTCAACTCTTTTGTGAACTTTAGTTGTAAAATAGTAACAAACTTGCCCCCAAAAGGATGAGTTTCGAATTCACCAAGCATGTGACAAATGTGTTGGACATTCAAAGTCCTGTAAATGGTGTCCATTCGGAACAAGCTTTGACCGTTGTGTTGTTAGAAATTTTATTTTAACAATGAGGAAGGAACATAGGGTTTTGGATCAGCTTTCTCAATTGAAGCAGTGGATTGGAAGTAGCATAGCTGGTTAATTTCGAAGGACCGAAGACATGTGGAAGAGAACGAAGCGACGGCTCAGTCTGCAACACGTGGCAGCGGTAGAGAGAGCCATGGTGGAGAGAAACACAAAACAGAGGAAAAGAATGGAAGTGGGGTCCAGTCCAGTCCAGTTACGTGCAACGGTGGTATGATAAAATCTGGGGATTGGATACGGAAGGCATGCCCGATTGCGTCGCACTTGCATCCAACCAACCACCGACGCACCGATCTCACTCACTTCCACCCGAATAATCTCAACTTGCCAAATTTCTCCAATTTTCAGAGTTTATCCTCAATTTCTCGTGTTACAAACTCACACCCACCACATCATTACTCCACCGTCTTTCTATCTCTCTCACGTCAACAAGGGAGAGGGAGAAGGAGAAGGCGGGGGAAGGTTGATTCACAGAAAAGAGAAGAGAATAGAAAGTGGCGAGGCCTTCCGATTCCCTCCTCCTTCCTTGTTTGTTCTTCTGCCTCATTCAATCAGTCAACTTTCAAATGTCGCTAAACAAAGATTCGCCCGAAATTCTCTCTGTTGCTCTCATGGGCCCCCCTCTCTCCCCCTCCCTTCTTCCCTTCCCTTCCCTTCCCTTATTTCTTTCTTTACATATTAACCAGTAAAGTAACCCATCACTACTCCCACCCTCATTAATTAATTAATTTAATTAAACCAAAACCCAAACCCATAGAGAGAGAGAAAGACTAGTCTCTCAGTCTCCGTCTCCGTCTCCTCCGCTTGGGATTCATTCGGATGGCATTTTTGTAAGCGCAATGGCGGCCACTTCCAGAGGCTTCGCTTCTCCGCCTGATTTCAAGCTCACCCGCCTCCGCCTCGCTTTCGATCCCCACCCCCTCCCTTCTACTGCTACTAATGCCGCCCGCCTGCGGGATATCAGAAAGCGGAGGAGAAGACTTAGCCTTCCCATGGCTGACCCACCCGCAGTCACTCGAATCACTTGCTGCTGCTCCGACTCCGTCGTTCCGATCCGCTCTGGAAAGAGCCTCGACAAGGCGGAAGAGTGGCGCTTCGATTCCAAGAAAAGGGCTCAGAGAGCTGCTGGAGTCCCAGTCTCCGCCGCATTGCCCTTCTTTGCTTCGTCTTCCTCTTCTTCTCCTGCTCAGTACGTTGCATTAGAATTTGCAATTTACCAAGGAATATTTCAATTCCATTCTCTTGTTTGTCTGGTATTGTTTTAGGGTTTAAACTAGTTGGCTTTTGGTGTTTATAATTATTTGGCTCTTTTGTATTTTACTGCAGATCTCGCTTCCTGTCCAAACAAGAGAAATACTACCCTCGCTGTACCCCAAGAAACTCTGGTCCACAATCTCGCGACAGTCCTCCGAAAAGAGGTTATTCTATCAATCATTCTACTTACTTTAAGATGGTAATATACCATCATTGGCTTCATGGATGGTATTGGTAGGTAATTAGTAACATATTTGATTTATCATTGAGAATTATTGTGGTGTTTGGTATTTTTGATAGATACTGGCATTGCCAATGAGAAGGAGTGGGGCATCAGCTTGTTAAACGAAAATGTAAATGAGTCTGGCACCAATGAAGATGGCACTACTTGGTACCGCGAAAGTGGCGAGGACCTTGGCAACAATGGCTACAGATGTAGGTGGACAAGGATGGGTGGTACCTCCCACGACGCTTCTTCACAATGGAAAGAAACGGTATATATCAGAATTTATCATAATTATTTTGCATTTTTAACTCTGCCATGTATGACTTGACTATCCTTCTTCACTGTCATTTTGTTTACTTTAGTGATAATTATCACTGAATTCTAGGATTGTACTACCAAGGCGCCTTATATTTCATACTCAAAAGCCTTAAACAAGTAGAGGGGGACTTGGACATCCTTCTACCCGTAAATTAGCCTCATATTCTAAGTCCCTTGCTGCATTGACTTGTCTTTATAACCCCGTTGAGTATCATCCCAGGTGGATGCATTTAATTGGATTTGTTGATCTCATTGACAGTGGTGGGAGAAAAGTGACTGGACTGGATACAAAGAGCTAGGTATACTTCTTCCTTCTCTTCATCTTCAACTGCTGGATATCACTAACCATGCCCGTCACTATGTAATTTCAATGAATTAGATATCTTAGATTCTTCATTTTCCTGAATAAAACCACAATCCTCAGAGTAACTCGACGTAAACAAAGCAACACATTCATTTTTATAGATGGAAAATAAGGTTTTTGCTGTGATATAAAACCTTTAAGGTCTTCTAATAAGTAAACTTGTCGGCACAAGTCTTTGTAGGTTCAGTATTCATCCTTGTTCCTAGAAATTTTTTAACTCAACACTTCCCACTGCTGTGGCAAACTTGCACAAATATCAAAGGGCATTGAGCGGCAATCATTCACTACATACTGGATTAATTAATCAATATCTGTTTTTAAAGACAGTGTTCTGTCCTGTATACTTTTACAGTCACTAGTCTTTCAACTAATTTCACTACTGTATCATGGGTATGGGTACGGATAGGGATGCATAATTCGCATCTATTATCTTTTCATAGGTGTGGAGAAATCTGGTAGAAATGCTGAAGGGGATTCGTGGTGGGAAACATGGCAAGAAGTTATTCATCAAGATGAATGGAGGTCTTTATTTTATCTCTATTTGATTAAGTTTTAGAGAATTACTTTTAACCCTTACTAAGTATGCGGTAGTTATAGAACTTTTTAAAATTTGTAGTTCTTGACCTTCTCCTTGCTTCATTGTTTTCCCAATATAAATTAATGCTGCAACTTTGTAAGCACAGTAATTTAGCAAGGATTGAGAGAAGTGCACAGAAACAAGCAAAATCAGGCTCGGAAAATGCTGGATGGTATGAGAAATGGTAAGCTAAAGTACGGTTTGTTGTTAATTCAATTTTTATTCACATTATAATGCACGAAATAACTGATGAAATAGATAAAATGCATTGACAGTTTTTACCTATAATTTGGATGCAGGTGGGAGAAATATGATGCTAAAGGCTGGACCGAGAAAGGAGCACACAAATATGGTAGACTTAATGAGCAGTCTTGGTGGGAGAAGTGGGGAGAGCATTATGATGGAAGGGGATCTGTTCTCAAATGGTTTTTTCTAACTGACTTGATTTACTTCTTCATCTGTTCATATTAAAACAAAAAAAAAAGTCTTCATTGTTTCACCTTCCTCTTAAATTCAGAAATTCGTTTGTCATCTGGTATCATCATTTTGGCCATTTACAGTTAAAAGCATGAGGAACAATACAGCAGCTAAAAAGTATCTAGTTGTTGATATACGCTGGACGTATAATTTTCAGGACTGATAAATGGGCTGAGACTGAACTTGGAACCAAATGGGGAGACAAGTGGGAAGAGAAGTTCTTTGCTGGAATAGGTTCGCGACAAGGGGAGACATGGCATGTATCTCCAAGTGGTGAACGTATGTGCAAGCACCTTGAACTATGATTAACACAAAATTTGTTTGCCTTTAGTTGTTTCCTTGGGTAACTAGTATACCATGCGGCAAACATATACAATGTCTTGAATATGTTCCAATTATTCAGATCTCCATGTTCATTCAACTTTTCAATAGTTTAATCTGATGTAACTCTGTTTTTGTTCTCTCATGTCTAGGTTGGTCAAGGACATGGGGAGAAGAGCACTTTGGAAATGGGTACGGAAGGAAATAAATTTGCCGAACTGCATTGTCATCTATTGTTCTGGTTTTTCTTTGACAAGTTAACTTGCCCTCTCTTTGCAGTAAGGTGCACAAATATGGGAAAAGCACGACAGGGGAAAGCTGGGATATTGTTGTGGATGAGGAGACCTATTACGAGTAAGAGTCTGGACTTGGTTCTGGTTCTGTCTGCATATAGTATGTTGAAGCAGTCAAAAAGGATTTCAGGGGAACCAAATTTAAATAATTTAGATTACATCTTCTGGTATTGCTCGTACTGTAAAAGTAATTTTGATCTTTCACTTTTTGATGAAGGGCTGAGCCGCATTACGGGTGGGCAGATGTCGTTGGTGACTCTAGCCAATTGCTGTCAATTAAACCTCGAGAAAGGCCACCTGGCGTCTACCCTGCCCTTGATTTTGGATCATCGTCACCTTCAGTTGATGAACCACCAGAAGAATTTTCTCCACAATGAAAGGTGACCAAAATTAGGTGGTCTAGTTTAGAATATTGATCGAAGTCCAATTATATTGGCTGAAACCGGTCGTTTGTAACGGACATTTTAGTCTTCATTTGATTCATTCTTTCAGTTGCCACTAGTTTGAGTTTTGAGATTTGAGTTTAGGTGACTGCTGCTACTTTTTTCGCACTATTGATTTGGGGAGCTGCATCGTACTTCATCCATACCAGTCCCGACGTAGATTTCTAGTATTTAAAGTGTTCTTGCCTCAAGTGATTCGATAGTCTTTGAAAAGTCCCACTATAAATTTTACAAGTTGAGGGAGTACAAAAATGATATGAAATTGAATAATAGATAGAAATTTTGCAAGTTGACCTTCACAAGTATTTTTTATGAATTTTCTAAGTCCCAAAATTGAATAATAGATAGAAATTGAATTCTTAATGGAGATTTTGAATATAAAATCGTGACATTTGCATGCGAATTAAGGGCAATATGAATTTCTAGGTTGCAAAATGGAATCACATATATAGAAAATGCTAGCAAGTCCCGGAAGTTAATTCGGAATTTTTGATTGGTCAAGTCTAAATTTTATTTACAGCTGCCGTCCGTCTCTCAATTTGGTAAAAACATCCGTATAAGAATGAACCCACCCCATCCCCGCACCTCTGTGACATCTCAGGTGACTTGAAGGGAGGAGAAGCTAAACATTTAACCTCTTGTGAGTCGCTCAAAAATCCCTAGTATGAATAAGTCTCAAGGCTCAAGCCATCCATGGTTACGACACCCATTCTCTGCTTCAGCCCACATAACCCGTTTCCGACTCGTTGCTTTCTGAAAATCCATCATCCACTCAGGTCACTTATGGATGCCAGCCATCGCATTGCCCAGAGTGTTTCACAAGTCGAAAATCAGTTTGCTGCCCTCCAATGAACCTTGTGCCGGTGTTCATACATGTGGGATGCACATTATCTATCCTCTTAGTTTTATATACAGTAGATATCGGAGGAATTGTATCCAAAACTTTCGTCTAGAGCTTGAAAAATTTGAGGGGGGAAATATGAAGAAATTGCGTATAAGAATCAGTTAAATGCAGTTGACAGCTATTAGCAAGGGTCAAGATAGAACCGTCTAGTCTGAAAGCATCTCCTCCAATTCAGGTTCCTCGGAGTTGACAGCATCATAATCCACGCCTCTTCTGTTAAACAAATCATTGTCCAAGGGGGCACTTTGATACTCATCCTCATCAGTATCAGGCCCTTCTGGATCATCTTCCACGTTTTGGGCATCAAAATCTACTTCGTCTTTTCCTGTTATGTTACTACTCCTACCATATTTTCTAGGTCCTACATCCCTCTTGGCCTTGGCCTGAGAATCTTCACATATGCAGGTATATGGGTTCTCATGAAAACCACCCCTGCCTGGCCTCACTTCATTCGGCTCACCCATAAAGCCTCTCTGATAAGTACGAACATTAGAAGCAAAAGCTCCCCAGGTCATGTTCTCTTTGCTTAGGAACAACCGGTAGAGTTTTTTAGCATTTGGACGAATAGTGGGCTTATGTCCAAAATATCTCCTGCAACAAATAAAAGATGTGAAAACTAAGCAGGCAGGGGGGGAAGAATAAGATGAGAAGAGAAATGAAGATAGGAAAGAAAGACAGCACACCTTCGTCCGGCTAATATTTTGGCCATATTGCCATTGTTGTTGGTGACAAAGACATCACTCTCATCACAAACTATGAAGTCAAGTGCTGCCATGCGAGAAGAAAATGAATAAAATGGTTCCAATTCCTCCTTGGTTGCTATTGTCTCTTTCGAATAAAAGTTGGGGAATAGTGCCTTAAGGGGTGCCAATGTTTCTTCTCCTCCATAGACTTCCCCTGATGCCACATAGATGTGAACATCGCTGCCATAACCCAGTGCTCTCAACATAAGACCAACTTCTTCTGGAGTAAGTGGACACCTCCCATGCCTCCTTGGCTTATCAGGATTGCTAATCTGCAACTCCATCCAAAATACATCTTATAGATACAGAGCAATGGGATATAAATAGACTCGATACACACCTCATACTTGATAAGAGACTAAAGTCTCAATACACACCTTATACTTGATATACACCTCCTTGGCTTTACTAAATAAACATAAGTGCACACACAACTTGCGCTTGCACATTTATTAAAATAAAAAAACAAAGGTCGGGTTTTAATCAATGTACTCTCAGTAGTTGATTCAGGGGACATAAGATGACATAAAGCCAAAAGAACATCACTTAATCCTTACATGTAAAGTCTTCCACCTCTTTTGTATGGCACCCAATTCTTTCCTTTCCTTGTCTCCTCCACCATAATAACATCCTGAGAATGCAAGCATATCAGGTTCATACCTGTAACAGTAAACATTTAATTGCATCAAGAAACAACTTGACAAGTAAGCCTTCGAATTTGCAGAATCTTGTTTCTAATATGGGCGCAACCTATTAGTTGCCCGTGCGAAGGAATCTGGGGGGTTGTGTTAGTCTACTCATGAACACGCACTTGTATGCGTGTTTCTGTAAATGTATCAACTAGATATGGAAAGCAGGTATACTAATGTACACAGATATATGATGATTACGATCATTGGAACAAGGTTCTACCTGCAATTTTATGGCTCAGTCTAAATACGCAAGAAAGACAGGGCAATAACGCTAGTTAAATGGTTGTTCTAAACATAAAAAGTAAAAAAAGATGGATAAAATTACCTCAGGTGCAATGCAATATAATGCTTGCTTCTCATCCTCATTTGATGAACCAACTTTTTGGCCATTTTCTGTATTGGGTCAGTAAACTTTAAAGCATGGTAGTTGACTCTACATCTTAATTTTTGCAGATCTGTATTCAACCTGTTTGAAAGTCTGTAATCAAACTTGTTGAGCTGAATAGCCTGTCACAGAATGAAAACTAATAAGTGCCTTTTCCATAAATTATGTATACTTGTAGAAAGATAATTCAAGAAGACGTATCTAGGGATGCAAACAAGCAGTGCCATCCATTAAGGGATCAAATCATTCACTAGAGCCATGATCAAAGCTAAACTTATACATATTTAGTAAACGAGTCCAAACCTGGGGCTTGGCTCATGTGCTTGCGAGCCTGAATATATTGTTTTTATTTCAAATGCAATAAAATTCTTAGCGAAACAAAATGTCTGACCACGAGATTTTCAGACAAGAACCATTTGGTCCACAAGATTGGGCACTGGATAAAATGTAAGTGCATGAAATATGGAAATATCATGTATTTCAAAATTAACAGTTGGCAAACAAACTGCAGGATACAAAAGTAAGCAAAGGAGAAGGCAGTACTGATGCAACTTACAAAGGAAAAGAAGTTTCTACATTCTACAAGAATTAGAAGCTTAAGAGAACTGAAAACTTACATGCCTTTTCAAAAGAACAGGTAATACACGATTTTGATAACATCTTTCACTACACTTCCTTGGAACACGCATAGTGGATGGCGTCCACATGTTAACTCCCTTCCTTGGAAGCTGTTTTATGATTTTAACATCTTTTGACAGAAATGATATAAACCAATCAACATCAAAAATCTCTGAAAAGTTACTGCAAAAGAAAACAATTGATTGAGACATGTCCATGCGATTACAAAATCTGGATTGCATGTAAATATGGCAGCATAGATATGATTCAAGGACTGACCTTGCATCCTTCCAGAAAGATTTCTGGTCCAACTTTGGAACAACAAGACTAGCATTCAGTATACGAGCTGCTACAACAGCATCTGTTATCTACCAAAGTTATAGGTAGAGTAAGTTCCCCACTAAAAGCGAAAAATACTATACAAATACTATATAATCAAGAAGCACAAATGCGACCAAGAGGCCGCCCCTAACGATTTCTTAGATTGGGCCTTCGAGCAGTTCCTCGACGAGTTCTCCACCTCGGCTGCCACTCCTCTGCAATCAATCGCCGGGCAATTTCCCGTCTCATCCGGCGGAAAGCACACAGAGGAACAAGGAAGAGAGTGAGAGAGAGATGAGTGGAGAACGGCGGCCAAACGGCACGTTCCACAGGGTTGTACAGAGAAGAGGGGCAGAGGAAGCTGAGGAATCTGCCATCTCAAAAGCCGAGTACAACCCTGTATTCCTGTCCGCCTTCGAAGGAAGTCACGCAGGGACAACATCGTGGTTGTTGGGCATTGTCGATCCAGCGTATTTGGCTGATATCTGGAGGCACCACTTGGCTCTTCCCCTCCTTCTCCAAATCGGATTCCGTCAATGCCCTTCCCCAGCCCAATGCCCAAAATCACAGTCAGCCCCAATTTTCTCTCCGATGAGTATTCTTGGTTTGTTGAAATAAAAAACGAAGTCCTCTGTGTGCATTTCCTCTCCAAAAAAATTGAGGAATAATAGAAAACAAAGTCCTCTGAATTTTCTTGGTTTGTGGCTTTTTTTTTTTTTCTCCCCTTTTTCATTTCAACAACGATTATATGGTGAAATTTTTTTAGAAAATTATTATAGTTCAACAAATTATCCGACGCACAGATTAATCCGACACAGTACCAAGTGCCCGACTAATCCGAACTGTACAGTCCGAGCTGCCAAATGAGGCTTTAGTCTATATTTTAACCCCTTTATGTTTTTACCCTGGTTATGCATCAGTTGAACTGTCAGAGTTAGGGTGGAATCAAGTATCCTCTCAGACATCCTCAAGGAAACATCAATGCAGTAACTATGACTATAATGCTGCAGAAGATAAACAAAAGTAAAATCGTAAGTTACCCCAGTTCTTTGTTGATTCAAGCCTCCACTGGTTGCAATCGCCAAGTACCTATTAGGACGCGTAATTTCATCAACATCTGCAAATATGAACAATACAGCTATTCAGGATGAAATTCTAAACACCAATGTCATTGTGAACACAAACGGAAGTGTCATTTTACGAAAACCATATGAAACAAACATATAACAGAAACCACAAGTAGGCAGCAACAATGCATAATTTTGGTCAATCAATTACGAAATCTTATAGAGTGGGGTATACTAAATGAAATGCAAACTGGAAAAGGAAACAGACTTGGAAATTTCTTGGTGCCATTGCTGCATCCATAGTAGAATTTGGAATTCCTGGAGCTCCAAATATCACGATCCAATCTCCCTCCACCGCTCTGATTTTGAACAAGTAAAGTGAAGCCGTAAAGATCCAAACAAAACCTAACATTACATTAAGGTTGACATCCGAAATTGAGAAGGAAAGAGAAAAGCCCCTAACTGGAACACGAAAGACAGTAAGCCGTGCAGAAACGGCATCGTCGTCCACGGCAACATCGAACTAGAAGGAAAAGAGGAAATTAGGATACGAATCCAATCATACGAATTGTTAATTGTGAATAAGAAGAAAATGCGGGAGGGAGAGTGTACCGTAGAAGAATGACGCGGTTGATGGAGGTTATTGACATCGAGAGGGGAAGGAGCAAGAACCAAGAGAAGAGCGAAGAGGACGAGAAGGGCTCCGGATATGGCCGAAATGAGGGGAAGAAGAAAGCGAAAGCGGTGGTAGTAGTGGAGGCGGCGGCGCTGGAAATGAAAAGCCATTGGTACAGTACAAGTGGCACGGCGGGTCTCTTTGACTCAAACACTCTCCTCTCTGTTTTATTTGATTTTGCTTTGTGTGGGTTTTGGGGTTGGAATCTGGAAGAATGAATTACGAAACAGGTCGACCACCGCGCACCACCGCCCTCCCACCGCCCTCCCACCGCCAGCAGAGGCTGAGACTTGAGGTCGTGCAATGGCTTGGGGTGTGGGGGTTGGCAGTCTGGCACCTGGCACTACGATAGAGTAGACTACTGTCTCTCCAACGGCGGAGCCTGAAATTATGGTCTCCCTTCCGTCAACATTTTATACTTTTATTATTTTTTATCTTATTATTTTTATTAAAAATTTAATAAAAAAATTTAAAATAGCTTAACCGTGATTCAAGGGAATAAGAATGGCACCATAACAGGGGTAGACAATCTGCCTCCGAAATTATTGGGTAGGTGGGTTACCACGAAAGCAATGCTCAATTTTTTTATTTTTGGTGCTTGCACAAAATTATATAATAGTATGCTTAATTTAATTTTGACTAAATTATAACAATAGTTCCTCAATTTTAATCAAATTGAAGTAATGATCCATCAACTTTAATCCAATTGGAGCAATAGTTCTTCAACTAAAAATTAATTACCATTGGTCCCTCAACTCATAAAAAATGTGTAGCTATGGTCGTTTTCGTCAACTTTGTCAGAATTTTGTCAAAATGAGTTATGTTGGAAGAATCATTACTACAATTTGAGTCCCTCAACTCATCAATTAAACTATTCATTTTTTTAGCGTTGGTTAAAGTGATTAATTTTTAGCATTTAAAATTAGAGGTGGAAGTCTTAGATTCGATTATTTTTAAAAGCGAGCCCATTGTGAGGCTAGGTTCGCTCCCCTCTCTCTTAGTGTAGATAATATCGTTGTTCGAAAAGAAAAATAAGAATTTAGGGGTGAAATATATTGCCAAATTTCCATGTCAATCGTTCCATACTGATTTTATGCCAATTGGTAATGATATGGTATTGTACCGAATCAAACATTTTTGATACATCATTAGTATTCGATACTATTACCGATGGTATTACCGTGCCGTACCAACAAATAAAAAAAAATATATATATATATATATAATTATACAATATTTAGAAAAAAAAAAAAACCCTTCATTGCCTCTCTCATTCCACACTTTCCCTCTTTGACACTCTCTCCCACTCTCTAAAGGAATTGGTGTTGGTGTGCTTGCCTGTGCTTGTTGCCTGTGGTTTCTCACTGCAAGGATTCTATTTTGGTTTCCACTTTAGGCCACCGTATACAGTGGCGGATCCAGGAAATAATGTTTGTGGGGTCATAGCGCGCGCAGCGCGAAATTTTTTTTTAGCCTCGTTTGGTACTTCGGACTGTACTGACTATTTCAGTCGGATAGAATAAATAGTCGTCGGATAGTACTAACTACATTAGTCGGGCGTTTGGTGCAGTGTCGAATTAATCTGTGCATGGAACAATACTAAATTTTTTTAATAATTTTTAACAAAATAATTGGTGTTAAAATGAAAAAACTCACAATATAAACAAATCATCAATATAATCAAAATAAATATGAATTGAATTTCAATTAAATTAAATATATTATACATATACAAAATATTCAAAATAAATACTCACAATATAAACAAACCATCAACATAATCAAAATAAATATGAATTGGATTTCAATTAAATTAAATATCTCATCTTGCATTCTACATATAAAAAATAATGAAAATAAAAACTCACAATATAAACAAATCATCAATATAATCAAAATAAATATGAATTGAATTTCAATTAAATTAAATATATTCTACATATACAAAATATTCAAAATAAATACTCACAATATAAACAAACCACCAACATAATTAAAATAAATATGAATTAGGGTTGGAGGAGGAGGAGAAAACAAAAGAAATTTGGGGGTTTTAGAAAGAAGGGATTCGGATCTGTGCAAAATAGGGCTGATAGGACACATTGGGTATTTTTTTTTTGTTCAGACCTGCCCAGGACACGCTGGGCATTTGTTTTTTGTTCAGACCTGGGCCAAAACGACGCCGTTTTGCCCGTATGTTTTGAAAAAAAAGAAGCGCGCAGCTTCTTCTTCCTCTTCCTGCAGTGCCGAGCTTCGTTCAGGATTTTTGTCGAACACTTGGCGTGCGACTCCGACCCCGACGACCCCGACGACCCCAGCTCCAAGAGGTCGCGTATGGGAGCTTCAAGGTTGTTTCCATGGTTTCCAAGGGGTCGTGCGACCCCGACGACCCCACTGTGGATCCGCCCCTGACCGTATATGTAAAGCCATAAAAAAAGAAAAAGCAAATGTTCAAGCCTTGAATTCGGTTGAAAAAGTCAAATTTTAGCCCAAAATAAGTAGTCCAAATCAAAGTGATAATTACCATTACCATACTATATCATCCGAATTTTTTAACATATCAAAATTTTGGTATGGTAATGATAATAAATTTGTCATTCCAAAAGTTTGGTATGAGAGTTTTGGTACAGTAACCCTACCAAAACACTCCTATTTAAAATACTTTTACCGTTTTATATTCTTTAAAAGCAAACTTAGGACGTAAACTTAAAGAAATGTTAAGGTGACTCTTTCAAAGTGGATTCTTTATGAACTCTATGTCATCTCATATTTTTAGCAAATGTTTTATAATGTTAGCATAATAATTGATATTAAACTGTGAGGTGACAGATAGTCTATGAAAAATTACACTTTTAAGAAAGTTTTCTTAGCTTTTCTTTTCAAGTTTTTCATTAGTTAAATGGATTAGGATAATAAAAAGGTGATACAGTAGCCCAACTAATTAGTATTTTTAATGTTAAAAAACTCAAACACTTCTTATGCTATAGCCCACCATTCGAGACGAGACGAAACAGTTTTGTTGCTGACACTCTGCTTCGTGCCACATCTGAAATAAATATTTAAGACGCGTTCGTTTGATCTTGTTAGGTTTTTGAAGCTAGTCAAGTGTGGTCTCGTTTGTCTGATGCACCAAATGCACACTTAGAATTGTGGTAATAATCAGTTTACATGATTTTTCTCGCAAAATATTTTCTCATTATGCTGAATTGATGATGATGCTCACCAATGTAGATACGTTTAAATTTTAAAATCTATAGAATAAATAAACAACAACAACAACAACAACAAAGCCTTTTCCCACTAAGTGGGGTCGGCTATATGAATCCTAGAACGCCATTGCGCTCGGTTTTGTGTCATGTCCTCCGTTAGATCCAAGTACTCTAAGCCTTTTCTTAGAGTCTCTTCCAAAGTTTTCCTAGGTCTTCCTCTACCCCTTCGGCCCTGAACCTCTGTCCCGTAGTCACATCTTCGAACCGGAGCGTCAGTCGGCCTTCTTTGCACATGTCCAAATCACCGGAACCGATTTTCTCTCATCTTTCCTTCAATTTCGGCTACTCCTACTTTACCTCGGATATCCTCATTCTCAATCTTATCCTTTCTCGTGTGCCCACACATCCCACGAAGCATCCTCATCTCTGCTACACCCATTTTGTGTACATGTTGATGTTTCACCGCCCAACATTCTGTGCCATACAACATCGCTGGCCTTATTGCCGTCTTATAAAAATTTTCCCTTGAGCTTCAGTGGCCTACGACGGTCACACAACAATGCTGGATGCACTCTTACACTTCATCCATCCAGCTCGTATTCTATGGTTGAGATCTCCATCTAATTCTCCGTTCTCTTGTAAGATAGATCCTAGGTAGCGAAAACGGTCGCTTTTTGTGTGATCTTCGCTAAATTGCTCCGGTCATTAGTGTGGATAAGTATATAAATGGATAGAGATAGGAAAGCAAACACAAGATGTACGTGGTTCACCCAGATTGGCTACGTCCACGGAATAGAAGAGTTCTCATTAATTGTGAAGGGTTTACACAAGTACATAGGTTCAAGCTCTCCTTTAGTGAGTAGTACAAGTGAATGATTTAGTACAAATGACATTAGAGTACAAATGACATTAGGAAATATTGTGGGAGAATGATCTCGTAATCACGAAACTTCTAAGTATCGGAGTGTGGTATCATCTTGACTTGCCTTATCTGTCTCATAGGTAGATGTGGCAGCTTCTCTGGAAGTACTCTTCCTCCATCCAGGGGTGGTATCTTTAACTGGTGGAGATGCACAAGGTAATGTATCAATTTCACTTGAAGCTTACTTGTAGTTTCAGGCTTGGTCAAGCGCGATACAAACCATGTAGTAGAAGTCCCCCAAGTCGCCGAGCTAGGGGATTTGCTGAAAGAGGTGACAGACAAGGTAAGCAATCAGAGCTCCGGTTGATTGTTCACCTTCTCCCCATCTTGCAGCAGCATGAAGGATAAAGAGAAGAAAAATGAGAAAAGATGATATGGGATACTTTTGCTTTTGAAGAAGTAACTTTCCACAGGCTTATTCTTGAACTGAGCTGGAGGGTTTTCTGGTTTCCTCCAGAGTATAAGGCCGACTGAAGAATTTGAGGGTCAAAACAAGTCCATCAAATCTAGAGTACGTTCGACCCTGCTGATATGGGATACTTTTGCTTTTGACAGAGTAATGGATGGATCGGCACGTGTGCTGTTACGCTTGTCTCCACATGCTTCCTTGTATCCTTCGCACTTGCCCTATCTGTTCCTCAAGCAGATGCGGTATCTTCCCTGGCAACATAAGATGTTGAAGATGAGTACTCGAGAGCAATGCCAGGTAAGTAATCAGGTAAGGGGTTCCAGGCTGTCAGTTCCTGGCTGAGAGCTTGATTTCAAGTGCTGACTGATTGCTCTCTTTCTCCTTGTCTTGCAGGTAAAAACAAGGCCAAAGGAAAAGACAGGGAAAAAGCATGATATGGGATACTCTTGCTTTTAACCCTGATGATATGAGATATTCTTGCTCTAGTATAGCTTGTTTGCAAAGGTATTATCGGGGGGAAAGAAAGCTGAATATTTCGAAAGGCGTCGTTGGGAGTGCCCTCTCAGATATGAGGAAGGGTTGAGCATTTTTGCAGGTCTGCCTGTCCGTTGGGGATGGAGGTCGACATATATAGGAGTCTCCCTAACAACAAGTAGTAATGCTATTCCTTTACCCTGCTTGGTCATAGCACGGTAGTGGGAGCTGCCAGCTTCACATGTTTTAACTCTGTCAGAGCACTTTGAAAAAATGGTATGTGGTATCTGGCTCTCGAGATTCGGAGAGCGATGCTTCTTCGATTTTTGAGAAATCAATCATGGTGGGGGTCTGGCTCTCGAGA